ATTTTTAAATGAATCATATTATTTGATTTTTCTATTTTTACCACAATATAAATGATCAGAGTAAACAAAATATGATGTCCAAGCTTTTAAATGTTATCAGAATTTAAAAGTACCAACTCACTGATCTTTCATTGCACCACTTGATTTAAAACTAAATAATGGAGGATATAAAATATGTAAATTATAATACATAAAAATAATTATTATGAACCCCAAAGACTAGGTACTCCCAAGATTTATGTGCCTTTGTGAGGTAACTCAGTCATAACAGTAACAGTAGGATCCGAATTAAATTAGAGTGCTCTTTTAAAAAAATCATAAAGTACTTGTTGCTAACCACTAACTTCTATCTTGAGAGTCTGGAACGAAAAGTCAGTGATTTGCAAACTCAAAGCAAAGCTCTCAAAAGACACCAAATATGCTAGCATCTTGATCTTGGAGCTATCATTCTCCAGAACCATGAGAAATAAGTTTTTATAAATCAAAATTCTATGGCTGCTTTGTGAAAGCAAACTGAATTGACTAACAAGAATTATTGAATGCCAGGTACATGTGGCTGCACACAGTCCGTGTATGTACATAGAGTGTGTATTTACTGATGCTACACAATCATTCACAGCATGGTTCTGATAGGCAGCAGCCACGTATCTTCCTCATTGCATTCATAACTTTGGTAGATGCCCTAATCTTCTAGATAGAGAATAGAGAGTTTTATTATCCCAGCAACTAACACTGGGCCAGCATAATAAAGCAGTCACGTGTAAGTAATGGTATCTCTGTTTAGTAAAAGTGATTGATCTTTTATACTTCTCATCTTTGCTCCACATGATTTCTTTATGCTAAGTGTTTGAATTCTTTTACATAAATTTTCAGTATTTTGGAGAATGGTCCTCAAATCCCCTGTGGCATTTTGTTTATCCTCTGATCTCTAATGTATCTTTCCTTAAAAATCCTGCTCACTGTGGGCTGGCGATTTACCTCAGTGGTTTGGTGGCCTGCCTTGCAAGTGCAAGGACCCGAGTTCAATCCCCGCACAAAACAAACAAACAAAAAAACTTGCTCACTGTAAGATAGTCTGTCATTTGGTGATGTTGGCAGGTGGTGTGTTACCTTTTCACACAGGACTGTCAGAGCCCAATGTCTCTAATTTATCAACTCTCAATTCTTGATGTCTCTTATTCGTGTCAAGTGACATAATAAATCTAAATAATTCTTGGCTGAAGTGCCAAGCTTACTTGGAATGGTCTCCCATCTCTTCTAGAGTAATAGTCACCCCAAACACAAGATATTCCACAAATCCAAATTCATAGTAATATAAATATCCTTTAAGACTCCTCAGTTATAAGATTTTATTATATTTAATACAGTGTCTTGCTATATAGACCAGGCTGGCTTTGAACTCATGGTGATTCTCCTGCCTCAGCTGTCCACATGCTGCCATTACAGCTATCTTCCATCATGCCCGGCTCTATTAGATATTTAAAATGCCATTGAACTTCAACTCTTGATGAATATATATCTGATTTCTTTTGCTTCTACTTATTTCTAATTCCTGTCATAACACACCTATTTATAATCTTTTAAACTTTGCCTATTCTATAATACTTTATACATAGAGCAATAATAGTCAGGATCAAGTCTATGGGGAAAATTCTGTTATTTTTAGCTATATTAGTTTTCTAATGTTCTACCACACATTATTGTAATTTAGAGGCCTAAAGCAGTACTCGTCTGTTATCTTACAGTACTGCAGGTACAGCCACGATATGGCTAAACTTTTTGTTCAAAATACAACAAGGCTAGAATTGAGGAAACGGTCTTTTCTTCTCACTTGGGTCTCAGGATTCACTTAAGAAATCATGGCTATGGTTTAGACATGGTTTAAATATATATCCATATATTAGGTAGCTTTCCAGTTGCTAAACAAAATACTTAATACCAACAAATTAAAAGACTTTTGTTAGATTCATAATTTCAAAGTATTTAGTCTATGTTTGGCTGTTTCCAAAACAAGAAAATCATGGCTGAAGGGTGTAGTGATGCAAAATTACTCACTTCACGGTGGACAGGAAGCAGATCGGGGGAACAGCATCAGAGAGGAAGGAATTGGGGACTAGAAAATGAGCCAAAGTCGTGTCCTTGTGACTCACCCAGAGATGTACTTTACTAACACTCCTGCAGGATCTCAACCCAATTAATTTGGCAACACAGCTTAATTGTCACTCTCCAGCACAGAAGCTTTGTCTCTAGGTTGGTGGTATCAGGAGATGGTGGAATCTCTGAGAGGTGTGGCCTGACAGAGGTTCTTAGGTCATTGCAGGTGTTGTTCTCAGAACAGGTAAAAGTAGTTTTTTGTGGGACTCTAGTAGCTCTTGTGAGAAGGATTTTTTTTTTAATAAAAACTGAGATGATGGTCCCTCTCAGAGACTTCCTGTTTTGAGATGGAATGCTTCCTATCCTATGTGATCAACTGTATTGTTTTGGATATTCAACCTCTACTTAAATGGCTTACGCATTTCATTTAGTAGGATTCAGTTCCTTGCAGGTGAAAAATTGAGGTGTTCATTTTCTTTTCAACTGTCAGGTGGTGGAAGCTTTGAGCACCCGGAAGTGGCCTATTTCCTTGCTACTTGACTCTATTTTCAAATTCAGCACAGGAAAATTTTCATTTTGAATCTCTCCTATACTGCAAAATCTCAGTAAGGAAAAGTCCAGCCCCTTTAGGGACACAGTTGGTTGAATCAGGTCCACTCGAGAATGTCCATTTCTTAAACTCAATTGTATCAGCTTAACCTAATCATAGGGCTGAACAGACCCTCATATACATAGTTAATAGCCACATTTAAGGAAGAGAGAATTACAGAGTGATTAAGGAGAGCTATTATAGAATTTTAGTCAACAAAATATTCAACAATCTTAACTCTTAATATGCTTGAATTAAAGTTAAGGAGTTTAGGAAATGTATTTTCTGCTTCAAAATTATTGGCTTCCAGAGAAACTATTCGGTATTTACATGTGTGACTTATAAACTATAATAGTACACAAGATCCCAATGCATTAATTAAGAGTGTGAAATAGGAAGAAAAGGGCTAAAGGTGTAGGGAAAGTGGGAAGGGTAGGGAAAAGGAAATAAGGGAAAAGAAAAAATATGAGAAAATGAAAAAAATGGAAATAAAGTGTTTGTAAATGGGGAGGAGAGGAGGGGATGAAGGGAGGGCAGGGACAAGGGGAAAAAATGAGAACCAAGACCTGTCATGTGAAGGTACAAGATCCCAGTAATGAATGTAACTATATTGTAGACCTAGATTGTACCAATAAACTCAATAAAAATAAAAAATAATATTGGCTTCCAAACGTATCCTCTCTCTGTATAATCATATTTTGAATGACAGAAGTTAGATACTCATACTTGTATCATATTTATTTCATATATTTTTAGTATAATCGCCACATCTATTATTTGCTTTAAGTAGAAATCTCCATCCCCATATATCTGTATGGCTTTCTTCTTCACTTTGTTCAGGTTTTTGATTAAATTTCATCTTCACAAAAATATTCTCATTGACCTCTTAAGAGCTTTGTCAACATCTTTCCTCAGTACCTACTTTTATAAAAATACTCCATTATATATTACGTCATTTAGTTTCCACGTGTTGGCTTATTTCCTATACTATTTCATTTAGAGTTATTACCCTATTTTAAGTACTGGATACTTCAAGGAGAGGAAAATATCTGCACATAATAAGACAAAATAAATATCAGGGTTTTTGATGTCATGTGTTAGAATAAAAACTCAATGTTTTATTTTTCTTTCAAGTTTTTTCTTTTTCTTTCTTTCTTTCTTTCTTTCTTTCTTTCTTTCTTTCTTTTTTCTTTTTCTTTTTTTTTTAGTACCAGGGATCGAACTCGGGTCCTTGTACTTGCGAGGCAGGAGGAGGAATGACTGAGCTAAATCCCTGGCTATTTCTCTGACTTGGTTAAAGACTGTACTAAATATTCAAAACGAAGTATTGAGAATCTTTAAATGTCAAAACCAATTTTTCAGAAAAAAAAGTATGCCTTTTTGTAACAATCATCAGAAAAACAGAAAAAAATAACATGATTAGGTTGAAACTGATTAGATGACACAAAGAAATTTAGGTATTAGCTAATTCCTTTAGAGAAAGATTATCTTATGAAACATTTAATTATACATTTTATCCCAATCCCTGACACCATCCTTAAAGTGGTCAGTATAAATTTCCAGAAAATAGTCTTCTTGAAAATTTTGTCAAGCCTCTTTCTACAGCCATTTTCTTTTCCTAATTGTTTTAAATTTATAAACAATAATTTAATAACAATTTTGTGCAGAGATTTAGTACAGAGTTATTCTTGGGAATTAATCATCATGTGTCCAAAAGTGAAGTTGATATGAAGTCCACTATTAGTACCAACGTCTCCTGGTCATGAGAAACATACCAAAGGAAGCTCTTGAGAGAGACAGACAGGGAGAAAGAATGAAGAATGAGTGAGAGAGAGAAAAACTGAGATTCAGGAAATGGCTTATAGCATTCTGAAGACTTGGATAAAAAAATCTACAGGATTGAAAAACAGGCTGAAGACCCAGGGAATAGTTACAGTCCATCTTTAGAATTTATTTTACTCAGAGAGGATAGACTTATACTATTAAATATTTCAAATGATGGGATGATCACCACATTATGGAAGGTTTTCTTTGCTCAAAGTCCACTGATTTAAATGTTATACTTATCCAAAAATGTTTCCAAAGAATCTAGATTAATATTTGTACAATGTGGTGCAGCTACTTGACATATAAAGTTAACCACTACATGAATCAAGTAGTAATGAATTTAATTTTAGATAACATACGTAAGTACATGCAGGACATAAATGGTAAAAAAAGAACCTAGGACAGCTGGCTTTTCAGGATAGTGGAATTTCACTACATCTTCCTCATTTCAAACATGGTATAGATAGTTCAATTAAGAAAAATGGGAGAAGTGCTCACTTCGGCAGCACATATATTAAAATTTTTAAAAGACAGAGAAGATTAGCATGGCCCCTGTGCAAGGATGTCATGCAAATTCATGAAGTGCTCTGTATAAAAAATACTGGGAACACAGATTTCCTAACTTACTGAGTTCTACACTGTGTATACGAAATGCATAGCTAAATAGCCAGGTAAATAGTGGCAAAGGAGCATCCAGTAAACTTATCAGGTGGTAGGGAGAGCACATGGAAATTCCCTGTAATCGAGTCAGTTGGAATTACCACATTCAAGGTATTGCTGCAGAAGGAACTAGTAAATGCCACACAAAGATGCAGATGTATGTAAAACAAAGAAAAAAATGTTTATTTTGGTAGCAAAGAGTCTGCCTGCATCAAAGGCTGTGCCACATGACCGACCCTGGGCTGGGTGACAATCTGTCTTTTCCCGGAATCTTACAATCAGGACCTTATTTTAGGTGACATTCTAGTTCCCACAGTTTCTATCACAAATTATGGTCACAAGACAGTATAATGTTAACCCAAAGGTTGCATTCTCTTTCAAGTTGTTTATCTTTAGCTATTCCAGCCCATAAGTGTGGGGATCAGAGTTAGGAAAGCAGGACTGGTGACATTTCTTTCATCTTAACTATTTTATTTCAGACTATTTACAGAAGTTCTTTCTATCGGTATCTTTCAATCTAAATTAGAATAAAAACTTGATATTGAGGTAGAACTTTTGAGCATCACCTGACCAGTTATTTTAATTTCTAAAATCAGGAACTATAGCTATCAGATAATTCAAGATAATGAATGTGTGATTGATTTACATAACATGATTAGTTGGATACCTAAACAAAATAAAGGAATATATAAATAATAAGCCAGAAATGTAGTCATTAGAATGTTGGTGTTATATTAAATGTTGAAACCATAACATTATCTTAGGATGGATTGTTTAAAGACAAGAAAATTAAGCTAAGAAGCAACATACGGGGGGAAAATTTAAGTGACTGGTGTAAACCACTGAACAGGAAGATATCTGGTACAAGAAGAGGTTATACTCTTCACTGTAGAATAATTTAACTCATTAAATAAGAATAAGAAATGGGAGAAAAGTTCAGGTAATTTTGATCAGAAAGGAAATTTGTGTTTAAAGAAACAAAGGGAGTACAGGCACCAAAGTCATCTATTTTGTGCTATAATCAATTGAAGGTATTAACAGAGTTAATCCAGAAAAATAAAAGCAGAATGACAAAATTGCAGTTTCTGATAACTAGAGATAATTTAATTACTGCATACATTACTACAATACATCCAATTATGTATATCTACAATAATATAATTTTAATAGAAAGAATGAACTGAAGCCTGATGCTTAGCATCTCATTTTGGGTAAACCCCCTTTATTTGGTACATGTAATGAGAACATGCTTCATGAAAATGATTCAAATATTATGTCCCTCAAGAGCAAGCAGTGCAGTAGAGAATTATCTGGTGTTCAGTCTGCCGAAATCATTAAGTAACATCAGGAAGATCTGGACTTAGGTTATAATGCCAGTATTCCCTTGAGTATGAGAATCCTCAGATTCTATTTGTTTGTTTCACCTCAGACACATTCATAGTCAGAGAAGTATTCATAGGCCAGAATTTCAACACCCATTTCTCCCATTCCACTGTTCCATGAAAGAAAAACTCATTGTAAGAAAGTTTTTTACTGAAAGCTTTTATGTATCGAATTTGCTGCAATCAGTTTTAGAGTTTATGGCCAGGATGTGTTTTCCTAGGCTGCCAAACTTTGACGACACCTATAAATGAGAGGGAGGTTCACTTTCTGCGCACTAAAATAGTAAATATTATATTTATTACTATAATTATAGAACTTTAAATAGAAGTTTTAACATTTTAAAGTAGCACTTTTTTTAAAATTACAGATCTTCACTATTACTATTCAAATGTTTAAATGTATTTATGTTTGTTTGATGTATTTATTTGTTATTGCTTTCTGGTTAACTTTTTGGTTTTGTAAAATCAAAACTTTCTCCGCATCACTACTAGATATTACTATTTAATAATTTTTAGACTTCACTAATACATTAGTTTATATTTTTATTATATCTATCAAATCTCTCCTTAGCAGTAGCCTGACTTTTTATGTCTTGCTATGCATAAACAATTATACTTCTTATATAATAGTAATTTTCCTCTATTTTAGAATATCTATATCAAAGTTGTTTTTAGGAAATCTTTCAAATAGCTATTAATGCATTTTTAACAAAAATTTCATTAGAGTTTTACTCTAATATCCTAGGATTTGTCAACATCCTATTTGGTTATATGGTCTGATGAAAGATTTTTGTTTTATTTTTGCCTCAATTGTACTATTTTTTCTCTCATTGAGTTTATTGGTACATTCTAGGTATACAGTACAATGACATTCATCATTGGGATCTTGTACCTCTACATGACAGGTCTTGGTTCTCATTTTTTCCCCTTGTCCCTGCCCTCCCTTCCCCCCCACCTCCTCTCCCCTTTTACAAACACTTTGTTTCCAAATTGCACTATTGATTTATTGATTGAATACCTATTTTTGTGATTTTTCTTTAAAGTAAATTAACACATTATTTTGAAACCAAATATCCATTGTTGCTGTTGTTAAAGTTAAAGTAGAGCTACAAAGAAATTTCTCCATATACTTCTTTAAAAGTTATTCCTCTGAGAGCTTCGATGTGAGAATATCACTCCCTGTGTCCTCAAGAGAATCCAGGTGCCTAAGAGTGTTAGTGAGAGCTTCAGTTTGTTGCAGCAAAGTTGCATGCATACATAGAGCAAGCTGCAAGGAAACACTAATTTTTTGGTTGCAAATATATGCAATGTTTCAAAATTTGTACTATCCAGTGGTTCAGAAATATACTCAACTGCTGTATGTTTTTCTTCTTCCTAATACTGATTGGTAAAAAAAAAAAATAACAAGGAAATATTAGAAAAGGCAAAAAGATGTGTCTGAGAACCATTACAGGAAACATTTCCCTAATAACCATTAACACAGAAGGAAAACAACTTTCTACCATTTATTTTTTATCCAATTTCAATCTAAAACCAGAGAATCTCAAAAAGAGTTTTACATTCAATAATATAAGTAGGTAAAAGTAATATTAACTATAACTAATAGTCATCTATTATTTATCAGGTACTTAATTATCACTGCAATAATACAAAATTATTATCCTTTTGTGCCTTTGGCGAATAACCCTCATAGAGTTGAAATAACTTTTGAAGGACACAGAAATGAAAGCAGAATCATTCCTGCTAAAATCCAAGCATTTCCAAAGCTCTGCTGAAGACCTTAAACATCTCTTACACTGAGTCGCTCATGCTAACACTCATTAGTGAGAAGAAGCATTTAATTAGAAAAGAGTCTAAATGCATTTTGGTGCTTTTTCTAAAAGTATCAAGTATAACCAATTATATCAAATGTAATCAAGTTTTGTCACCTTTAAATAAAATTATCGAGGCTCCATATTCCAGTAACAAAATGGTACTCGGAAAAAGTGGACTCTTCAAACACATGAACACATACACCTCAAGGGAGGAAATGATATCCATTATTGGTATGATTATGTGCCTCGTAGAAGAAAATAATTTAGCAGAGTCCAGAGTGTTACTGATATCTGAATGAGTACAGCAATCACGGACTGAGACTGTTCATGAACAAATGGAGCACAAGAGTCCCTCCAACCACACTGCTGAATCTGGAAAGGTCATGCTATCAAGACTCACAACCAAAGGGGATTGTAAATTTTTCATTTTACACATGCATAATAAAATGAACACACTAGACCAGAAGGGCATTTTACTGAACGTACAATACAACAAAGACAAGGGGGTATTGACATAGGACACATTACTCAAAGCTGTTGTTTCTATAAATTATGATGATGAAAACATTGTATGTAAAATATATGAAATAATATATTTTTGATGAAGTAAACTAGCAAGTAGAAGACCATTTATGCACTTACATGCTCAAGTTCATTATACTAAAATGAAAGTGAACTATCCATTTAAAAGGAGAGAAAAAAATAAAACTAGAGAAGAAAGTCAATAAGAAAGATGAAGGAAAAAATAAGCAACACTTTAAAAAAATCAAGAAAACAACTTGCTATAAACAGCCTCTAAGATGATCCTCCTTTGCTGGTATTCATACCTTTGTGTGGGGGATCCATTTAGTGACTCCTGTTTAATATTTTATCAGAGATGACAAGGTGTCACTTTGGAGTTGATTTGAACATTTCTGTGGCTTGAGTTTTAGGGCACTCTCTCCTGATCTCCCAGATCACTTGCTCAGAGGGAAACCAGGATGTGCGTGGCCAATAAAGAGGCCCACATGGTACAAGGGAGATCTCCAGCCAGCAACCAGGGAAGAACTCTGTCCTGACACTAACCATAAGCTGAGCTTAGAAACAGCTTTCCTATAGTCAAGTCTTTAAATGAGCCTAAAATCTTGGCACTGCAGTCTCCTGAGACACCTGCTCACAAAAATACCCACTTCAGAGATTCCTGATCACAGTATTTATGAAAAAATGTTTGTCAGTTTAAGTCACTAAATTTTGGCTTACAGTTAATGACTGATAGGTGAATAATAAAAAAGTAGCTGTTCAAATTAAGAAGGGGGGCAAAGCAAAAAGATACAAGATATGAATTATCCAGGAGAGGAAGTATTAAGAAATACAAATATTTTTAAAAGAAAATTATAAAAGTTAAGGAATGAGAAAAATATGTTGGTGGTGCTAACAATTGATTCATGGTTGTAAAGGAAACTTACACTGAAATGTAGACATAAGGTATCATTATCATAATTAAAGGAAGACGAGTATCACAAATGGTGCAGCAGATTGACGTACTTCCTAGCGTACTGCAACAAAAAGGATATAGCACCTCTAAGTAGCATTTGTGCCACACTCATTTTATCTGGCTTTATACAGCTTTCAGACTGAACTCCACCTCAGAGGAGACACAGGTGTTGAGAGGAGCTGAATAGCAGCAATTTCTTTCTCTCTGCCCAACGCCAGCCATTACACACTAAACATCAGCCAATTCTAACGTCTTTTGATAAATTTC